GTCGCTACTGCTGTTCCCATAAATAAACTAGTACATATGAATGAGGTGTATTGGGATATAAACGTTCAGACATTGTATTTAGCAAAACCTGTACTACGTGTACCTTAACTTATGCCATATACTTGACTTTTAAGCTAGTTAGGGTTTAGTTCTATTTTAATTGACATTAATACCAGCAATTAAATATCCTTTGATATCAGGATTGTGGAACTTATAGAATAGCTTGGTTATATTAAAAGGAGCGCTACTTTAGTTCTTTTCAAGGCTGTAGTTAATAGTTTTCGATAACGTAACCTTTTGAATTATTGCATGCATTGCAGTTAGGAATTCTTAATGATTTTACTGAAGAGGCAGTTAATGAAAATAATAATGAGAGACTGCACTTTTAAAAATTTCAAAAAGCTTATTTAAAGCAAAAAAAGTTAAAATTATTGTGAAAATTTGTATAAAAAATGAAAATAAAAGAAGAGTATTTCTAACCTTCAAAAATCGTGTTTATTAGCTGTCGTATATACATACGAGACACATGCCAATAAAATACAGCTGACTTTAAAAAAAATAATGAGTTTATTTTGTTAATAATAATCACCTTATCCAAAACAACATTTTGCACGGTCAAAATATTTTGGACGGTTTTTTTCTGGCCGTCGCACATGTTCTTCAGACGTCCTTATAGCGTCTTCCTTTGGGCAAAATCAGTTTTCCGAAAACGAAATATGTAGACACATGTAGCCAGATACGGCGAATATGGGGAGAGGTTGGTGGTAAAAATAATTTTGCTGTCAAAAAATCGCCAAAATGGCGGAACCCATATTCACCAAACTTGATATGTAGATTCTCCTAATAACCAGGCAATGCGAGTCAATTTTTATAGCCTGTACTCAAAGGGTACTATTTTTTTTTATTTTTTCCTTTTTGGTGGGAGGTACAGGGTATTTAAGAGTTGAGCTTGCTCGACTTTAGCATTCTTTTCTTGTTTTTATTCACGACTATAAGATTCTCTCTTGTTGGTCAACTTTTGTGGAATAGAGCAAGAAGTCACGTTTCTCACATTTCCCAATTGTACGGCTAACAAGCCACGAATCCTGGATTTGAAGATATGTGTTTAACTTAATTTCCATTCATTTTACCGAAGATTTCGGTTTGTTTTTGATAAATTCAATAATATTTTTGACTGCATCTTCGGTAATCAAGAATTTTTGCAGGCCGTCATCATTTGGTACCAATAGTACAAAGACACTATTACCTTCTGTGTCAAACATTGTCGTCGTCATTTGGTACCAATAACACAAACATAGTCTTACTTTTTGTGCCATTAAAAAGCTAAGAATAAACATACTACGTGTATTGGCCTTAAAGTGCGACCACTCGACACTCGGCAAAAGCTTCTGCCACGACACTCGTGACATTTTCATCCAGCACTATTCACAGCTCGATGGCTTTCACTCTCATCAGACACCGGATGAAGCAGCTTGTTCATCCCAGTGCGCTCTCAACGCTAATTGATTTTCATGCATGATGCATTCGAACATGTACACAAATTTCCAATCGAGCACCGTACCCCGAGCAACAGCGAAATGCACATACATAGCATGCCCTGGCTGCTCTAATACAACTACATACGTGTATGAACAATATTTCGCAATAGTCAATCAATGGATAATTGAATTCGCTGTCAATGCCAGAAACAATCATGAAAAAGACTCATTTATTGTTGGTAGGTCAGGTTGCTGCCGATGTCCACTTGGAATTTCCATTTGTAGCAACACAACATTTAAATTTAATTCAGTATGTACATGGTATAATAATATGTATCAATGTCAATTGCTGATTAATTAAAATTGAGAGGTACATGTAAGAACTATTAGCAATAATAGTACAGTTATCTGAGTTGGATTCATTAAAATTGTTAAATAAAAAGAATCTGGCAAATTTGTTTTTTAAAATTTATATACATACGGAGACAGCACGTTCTTTTGAGCCTTAAAACCGTTTGAATAACTATAAGATCTAGCTTTGAACAAGTGTGGCGCTAACCCCATCAAATGCTTGACTACTCGGCCCGATATATAACTACTTCATCAGACCCTCAGACATAGGATTCGGGTGTTAAATGGAAGTTTTAGTGCCTAATAATTGAATTAATAGCTTTTCTCTATTTCTTACTAACGTCTACGCATTACTATTTACGTTGTTTACTTGTTTACCAACCTTTTAGTTCTTGAGTATTAAATTGAAAGCCCTTCCCTGCTTTTGTCCACCAAGCTGTATTTTCCTTCGTTTTTTTTAAATTGTTGCTCAATGAATAGTTGAACGCGTAGCACCAACACCACCCTCTCCATACTGCCCAGCATCTGAAAAAGCACTTTAGTTTGATTTTAATTTAATTTTAGAAAACTTTTCATCTCGGTTGCTCCATTTTGGCAGCGATAATAAACGTCTCTAGTACGTATCCTGTAAGTAGTATCTGCTGTCGTAAGTTTTAAAGTTTTGCTTTAGTTGCTTTCTTAATGGAAGTTTTCAAGTAATTTTTATATTTTTTTGTGGTTGATTTCCTTAGTCTAAGGGGTAGTTGTTCTTTCCTGCAGCTCAATTAGTGAAATTAAAGTTTTGCGTGGCCAGCTGCCCTTTTTTCTTTTTAATGGTTTTCCATTCCGCTAAGCTATCAGGTAACACTATAGACAGCATAAGTATTACGACAAACTCAAATAAAACATATGTGTCCAATTGCCATACCTAAGTTTTTATTCAGTACATACAAAATGGCTCCCCGAATAAATAAATCTGTATCTAAATATTAAAGGACAGCTGTGATAAAATTATTTAATTTTTTCAATTGGGAACAAGCAATTTTGCAATCAACACAATTATTTTACTTTGGGATTTATGTAGCGATTTTCTTGCTCTATAAATATAACAATTCTTTGCGTTAGTTAATGAAAAATTTCGTTTACCTTGAAATACACATATTCTCATTCATTTGAATAATGAAATATTCGTTTTCTCTTAACAATGCAGCAATAGAGTTCCTGGATCAAAGTAGTTCAGAGAAAATAAAGGTAAAATTTGTAAAATCTTTAGGGTTTTGGGAATGAACTTTTTTCGATTTATCATAATTTGATAGAAATTTCGATACAGGAACAGTCATAGTTATATAGTAATACGAGTGTGTTATTCTGGATATAAAAAAGTATTTGTTAACATATTATTGGCATAGCATGTACTTTCTCAATAGCGATTTGATATCACTTTCATGCCTTTAGCGCACTTACCGTGTAACTCACTCATTAAATATTATTTGGTGGTTATTAATAACACCATGAAAGCAAAAATAGCACACAAAACCCTGAAAGCATGAACAACATAAGACCCAATGGACTAAGGTAAACGGAACATGTCAAAGCAACGACCTGCTTTTCGCCAACAACCGCAAATACATGAAACTAACCCTAACTAACGACACACCCGTCTCTGACACACCCTGGTTGGGCCTGTTGTTTTTATTGTTGTTGTAGCCTCTGCTGTTAGAGAGCCCATAATAAAAACTGTACCCTACCCTACTCTGTCCATCTAAATGCAAAAAGGGGCCAAGAAAACAGTTCGTAGCCGCTCAGGAGCGCACATGCTGAAGTGTCAACGTTTCTTGTACACGTTGTCGAGGCCCTTTTACCATTGTGCCGGAAATGAAAAAGCCGCCATGTTGCCAGCCGCTGTTGCTGTCTCTTTCTAGCGCTATATTCTGCCTTGGGTTCATGGGCTTTTGTAGGTGCATATGCAAGTAAACTTGATTAAAAGAATTTAATATTGTTAATCTGCTTCGTTTAGCGGAAATGTTGAAAGCAAAATGGCGGTAAAATGAGCAAAGAATAGTCGCAGATATTTGCGAAAGACAGCACGAAGAAAACGCGGTAAGTACGGCATTCAGTATTTGCTGTTGTTCTTGTCATTACGATGAGCGTAATGCATGCTTAAGCAAATACAAATAACGCAAAAATACGACTACTATAGCAGCAGTTTGCGGCTCTTTCAACTTGCTTAACAAACCGCGAAAGGATGCACTGCTCAGCGGTCTGTGAGCCAATTTGGTTGGCTGATAAGTGGGTTGGTTATTAGAATCGTTTTTGGATGCAATTAATTCTGTTTTTGAATAAAGAATCCGCATGAGAAGACAATATTATAAAATGTGCATACCCAGTGTCGAAATACTAGGCACCCCAAAAAGAATACATAATTATAGTCCAGACTGTATAGCCGTATCCTCGGATCTAGGCACTTCGTAGGTATGAGGTGCATTTAAAGTCAATGAGTTGTTCGATATAGTCGTACCTTAACTCTCCCGTCACAAGCTTTGGTAGAAAATAACTTCTAGACATCCTGTTGGTAGAATAAAATAAAACTAAATAAAACTTGTTATCCAAATGAAGCTATAAATTTGAATCTTTTTTGATATATGCGATACGCGTGAAAGAGCTCAGAGCACATTGAATCTGAGAATTATTTATAAAATGAATATGTTAAATACAATTTTAAAATTTTTCAAAATCAGCTAATAGTTATCGTTAATAATTTAAAAGTGTTATATCTATGGATATTCTTTACTTAATACTGAAAAATGCAAAGTGTTCAATTCCTAATGAATCACAATACGTATTAAAGTGGTATTGTTTGTTGTTGATTGGTAAAAATATAATATTTGCTTTGTTTTTGTTAATGTTTGCCAAATCAAATTTAGTATTCGGGTATTTGTGAGAAACGGTACGTCTTATTTACCTTAAAGGAGAACACAAAATAATCATGTTGAGAAAAAGAGAGTATTATTTGTAAAATTGTATGTATTAAGATATATTAAAAATTTGCAATGATGAATACAAAATATTAGCGTGTTTCTAAATTTTTGAGAAGCTTGCCCAAATCCTCAATGAAGTATATATATACAAGCTCATTGAAATTAAGTTGAATGGTACAACTCTAATGTTCGCACTCTTTCTTTGTCTAAACAGCTATCCGTTGGCATTGAGAATGGCATACTGGAATCGTACAATTCGGATTTCGAGCTGCAATTTAGTCATCCTTTGAAGCATATCGTTGGCATGTGTCGAGTCGTACACAAACCGCAGGCCAAAAGCATCGGGAATGGTTTCCTGCAACTAAAGTCGAATGTCGGAGCCATCGCCGGACAGCAAACGAGCAATAGTACGGGCAATAGTTTGACCGCAAATGGTTTGCGCCACACGCTCACCACATCCACCTCATATGGGTCTCTCTCAGCCAGCGCTGCAGCTGCTTATCAGGCACAGCAGCAGCATCAGCAACAGCAACAACAACAGCAACAATCGTCAACGGATGCGGATTCAGCACAGAATGCGCAACACTTTATGGAATTTCAAGGACCCATTACCGGCCTTGTGTATTTGTTAAAGGATCCCAAGGACCCATTGCTACACATCTATCTATTTGAGTGCGAAGCTGTCGAGGAGGTAAGCAGATTAGTTGATTCGTTGAAAACATTTTGATTAAGCAAAAGCTGTCCATGCCGTATTACTACATATTCTGTACACATATACATATATATCTATCTGTTATAATTGCACACATTGTCCTGGGCTCCTCCTGGTGCTCTCGGTTGGTCACTTTGTTAGATCGCTTCCTTTGTTGAAGTCCGTTTGAATGACAACTTCAATTCCTGTTTTGAAATGTGCGCTTTTGATGTTCATTCATCCGGAGATGTTTGTGCTGAACTTATGCATTCGAGTGCAATCAGCAATCAGGAGAACTCTAAAGCTCAAGCTGAAATTAAATAATGAATAATAGAGTTTAAGCTTGGTAGGTGCTGAACTTGTGTTATATATGGACTTTATATTAGAAGTTATTTGCCAACAATCAGTTAAAGCCCTTTACTTTTGTCCCCAAATTACAATCATTTCATGTTTTTATATACTATGTCCTCATTCTGTTTAAAATTTATACGTCTTCTCCAAAAAAAAATATAGCCCATATAAACAAACTATAGTATACATTGTGTACAAGTATACCCTATACCCAGGTACATTCATGATCAACATGATGAGACGATTTGATATGTTCGTTTCTCAGCTCTTAAGCATTAATGCTGTCACATTCTCAATTCATTTAAAAGTCATTTTAGAAATGCGATATTTTGTTTCTGCTGGATATAATAATACGCTTTTCATTGGTGCCTACACCACTTCATTTGCCATTGTAGATGCGTGTTTTGGCGCTCTGCATGCCTCTTGGACAGCTATAAAGAGACTTCCGTTTACATTTGTAATTAAAAGCGCTAGGCAAGAACTAAATTAAGGTTGTCGCTTCATATACTTTGTAACAAGATTTGGCCACAAAGTTTGCGAACACAAAATTTGAAGCAGACACACAAACACGCGTACAAATGGAAAAGCTACGACCTTCTATTTACAACTTCAACATGCGGCGGCATTTGCCACACGCAAAATGTTAATTTCGAATGAACAGACAGGGCGGACAGAGACAGCCTGCAAACGAATAAGCCGCCCCCATACAATTAAGTTTACACTACGTTGGACATGCAAAAACCTAAACGCAGAATTAAGCTTCGTTTTATACTATTTTGGTAGCCCAAAAACCTAATTGCATAATACCAGCTGGAAAGGGGAGGTGAAACGAATAAGAACAAACAGCTGAGGGAAAACATGCAACATGAAAAACACACGTTCTCTGAACTTGGCCAAAAACACTAAATGCATTTGCTAGAACATACAGGCCAACACATGTCCGAGTATATGCGAGGGACAATCAGTAAAAAAATCTTCTGTCTAATGCCATCAAACTTTATTGCAGCCTAGTAAATGGGGTAGAAAGCAATAGACAGTCTTAATTTGCAATTAATTACTGAAGGGAGAAAATGTCAAATTAAAACGATATTAGTTCCGGCCAATGACATCTCTTAAGCATTGGTTACCAAAAAACAATGATTGAAAGCGATGCTGGTCTCGATTAATGCGCATGGCGGCACGTTAAATGTGAAACAAATTCAGCTAGATTTTTGGTTACGATGGAGAAGAAGCGCCCAGACGTTTTGGCATTTATTCGAGACTAAAAGCAAAGTCAAAGCGATGGATTTTGCGGGTCAACGTGAATTCCTCATTAACATTTGTTCAGAAAGGTTACACCTACTGCAAAACAGTGCAATATTTAATCGATTTGAATAGAAATAGAGACGAGCTATAGTAATTTGGATAAGCAGTCAAGAATAAATTCTTGGCTCAATCAAAAACGAATCGCATGTGCTGCGTGATTCAACTACATTAGACTAGATAGAAAAGATTGACAAAGATTGGCAAGGAAATATCCTATACATCTATATATATAAAACACTTTGTCCTGACTAACTGACTGACTGATTGATTGGTGATCAACAAACAGCCCAAACGGTAAAAGCTAGGAAGCTGAAATTTGGACTCAAGTATCCTATCATAGTGTAGGTGCGCACTAAGAAGGGATTTTGGAAAATTCGAGCTCCAAAGGGGGAAAACGAGCTCCAAAGTTTGTTTGAAACATCTTCAGTTTTCCACCAATCAATTTTAAATTTGATTTTTATAATCTATGAAAGAATACAAACAAAACTGCTCGGATGTGCTGAGGAAGCACACAGTTAAGTCAGGACTGGCAGTCCGCCCGGTGCGTAACGAAGATATATACATATGTATGTATGTATGTACGTATAACCATACACAGTACTTTTTGTACTATATTTGCTATTTGGAAAATGAACTCTTTAAAAAACTTTAGAGAGCGTCGAAAGAAGAATATCATATAGTAAATAAACTTAGCCCAGCAAAGGCGGGCAAGACCTGCTAGTAGGGTAATAAAGTTACCAGAATAAATGGTAATTTCGACCACCAAACAAATCATAAATGGACACAAAAGGGACAATAAGTTTGGCTATAGTACTTGCTCATAAAAAATATTCGCAATTGTTTGTTTCGCTCGTTTCCAGTAATTACTAGGCCCGACAGTGGTACCTATGGGTCAACCCTCGTATATTTTGCAATGCATATTAACTGCATGCTACTGTTTTGTTGCTGTCATCTGTTTTTTCTGCTGCATTTAATTTACAGCTGAGAGTTGTTTATGTGTGTGCACTAGGTATGTTTGACTTTTTGCATTCATGCTTAGAAGCGAAAGGGAAAAAATTTTAATGAGTGCTCGTTTAATTTTCCGTTTTGTTCAAAGTATTTGTGTTTAGATTTTTCCTATTGAGCGCTTTCCATTTAATTTCCACGTAATTGCTTGGCGGTTCCTAGTTTAATGTAAGTATGAGGTTGGGGCTCTGCGTTATTGCTTCACATGGGCTTGCATGTCAAAATAATTTTAACGCTGCGCTCTACTTGCCACCAGTGTTGGTAAATGCCATTCAAACTTTGTTTGGCATTGATGTGTGCTGTATATGAAGTTTTAACACAGTTGTTAGTGAAGTTTAATTGGGTTTTGCCTTTTGGTTCAACGGTGAGTAAGCCTAAGAATATGCAATTGAGTTGAAGCGGGCATTAAATTTACATTAAATTTACATTAAATTTACTTGAAACTTTTTGGATTTTGATGAAAGTATTAAGATACATTTTTCGAATCTGTTTCACCCCAGCTAGAAAAAATTTGATTTTTAATGCATACTTTAAAAACAAGCTAGGATGCTCGGTTTTCTTCTTCTTTGCGTACTGACAAGCTTGCTAAGCATTGCACTGATTGAGTTTTTTTTTTTTGCCGCGATTTGTCGCAATTCATTAAATTAAGTGAAACGGCGGCCCAGCGGGACTCATAAAATCTTTGCCTTTGAACTGAACATAATTGCCTGTGTGTGTGCGCGTTCAGGGCACCTGAAAAGCGGCCCTAATAAGCGACATTAGGCGGCAGCTGATTTAAAAAAGCAACCCAAAATAAGGGTCGCGAAAAAGCTGGCAATGTGCTGAAAGCGAGATAAATGAAGCACACAGTCAGCAGCATGCGGCCTAAGAGACATAAGAGTACCCCAAATGCTCGGCTCAAAATAAAAAATGAAACCACAGACAACAAATATAGGCGTGCACCATAAAACAACAACGAGCAGAGAGCCAGTGCTTGGAAAATTAGGCTAATTGCAGCGTGCGGATAATAAGCGCATACTTTTAGGTACCGGCCATGTGGCAGCTGCGGCCAAGAAAGTAGAAAAATGCTCGTCCACATATAGCGAGGTTTTAACAAGTTCATAACGTTATAAATATTTAAAGGCTGCTCACCTGCTAACGGTTACTGATTCTGTTGCTGCACAACGTCCAACACGGCGTATGCGTAATGTACACTTTGGGGGTTATTTGCCTGCCAGCTCTCCGCGCGTCTGTTAACTGGCACAAAAACATTTGCGCCTTTAATGCATGTTGGACAGTGTACATGTTTGTTAGTGCAGGAATACGAAAATGGAGAATTAAACAAAGTCCTTGTTTTTACATATTAGGATATTTAAAAGTTGTCAACAATTAGCGCCTTTAGAAATATGTATGTTTTTTTTAAAAAACGTTTTCAAGTCCTTCAGCTAAAAGTACAAATACGAATCTAGCCATAGTATTATTTCAAAATTATAGCTTTAGTTATGATCTCTGTCGATGTTGCAAGTATGGTTCAACGTCATTTCCATTCTCCACATACATGTATAAACTGTAATTTATTTATATTTAAAAATGCTGTCCAATTATTTTCTGTTTCAAAAATGTACGTTTCTAAAAGTAGAAATTGCACACTGTGCGTTGCTGAAGTGCCCCACTTACCACTTACCCCTGCCTCGGTTGCATGTCGGTCTGTGTCCAATGGCGGCCATGTTTTTGCTCAACCGCCGGAAGCTGCCATTCTGGTTGTCCTGGTCGCTGCTTGTCGCGCTAAATGACGCATGTTGTCATTTGTTTGTTGCCTTTGCTTTGCTCTCCGTTGTTGCCATTATCATTTGCTCATCGTCAGTGGTGTTTAAATTTTAGTTTTATTGTCATGCTAAGTGCTTGCAAATAACACAAAACATGTTGATGTTGTGCTTGCCGCAAATGTGTCGTTGTCGCTGCCTGATAAAATGAGTCATCAAACATTGGAATGCAACACATTTAGACATACTAAGTATATGTATACGTGTCTACTCGTATATACATGCAGACACATATAAATGCAAAATCCTACTTAATGGCTTTAAAGTATGCTCTCCGGCTTGAAATTGTCAACAGCAGACAGCACTTGTCGTTCGCGTTGCTGCCAACTACCGGCACCGAGCTTGCCTCTCACAATCTCTCCAACAGAGTCCCCACTGCAGACGCTTTTGTTATGCTGCCAGCAACCGAACAGAACCTAATCGACTGGTACAAACATTTCAAAATGTTGACATTTTTGTATCTGCCTTTTGCTTTTACTGCTCCTGCCTTTCTCCTCCCATTGGCCACATCGGAACTAGTGATGTAAATACACAATC